TTGCATGTTGCTCCCACTGAGGGCTATCGTCTGAGCAGTGATTCATGCCACATGGGGCATCCGTATGGTTGCGGTTATCTGACTGATGGGGCCTCTGTGAAAGAGCCTGGCTGGCTGCAGGTGAACAGGCCGAATCAGTAAGATGATCCTGCCTGCTATGAGAGGATGATAGTGGGGGGCTGGAGCTGGGCTTTCCCCCGGGACTCAGCTGTTGCGTGTAGTCAAACCCATTACCAGGCTGTTGCCCACAAATCACAGTCTGAGTGTCTGTCTGTGACAGTGATTCTGCATCAATATTTGCCAATGCATCTCTGTGATTTCCTGCATTTAAGAGTGACACGCCCTGAAAATCATTTTCAGGTTGCACTACTGTTTTTTCTTGCCGTTCAGTCTCTGAACTCTTCTCCATCTTTTTCTTTTTCCTTTGTTTCTTTTTTTCTTTCTTCTTTGTCTTTTTGTCTTGCTCAGCCTCTTTGTCACTTGGTGAATTCATCCTTTTGTCTGTTTTTGACTCCTGGTCCTCCTCAGTGTGATTGCTTGCTCCTGTCCGTGTCTCTGACTGCATCTCTGATAATGCATCTTTATCCTTTAAATGAACATTACTGCTCTCAGATGTTTCATTACCTGAATCATCTTTCTTTCCAGTTTCAACTATACAAACGTGAATACTGGACCCATCACTATAATTTTCTTTCTTTTTGTCTAGATTCTCTGTTTTTGCCTCTGTGGCTTTCTCCTTAATCACTGTATTATAATCGAGAGTGCCATTTTCCTCAGTGACTGTATTAGAATCAACATGTTTCTCTCTTAGATCATCTCTCCGCTCAGTCAACGCAACATCTTTTCGGGTTTCTTTAAATGAATCTGTTGCTGTTTCTAATTGTGTATGTGGGGGTGTTTTCATCTGCTTATCTATCTCTGTTTCTTTTTCTGGCTTTATCTCTGGACATTTATCCAGGCTCTGTGTCACTTTTATTTCACTCTCCATCTCTGCTGCCCCAGAATTATTCTCAGTGCCCAGTATGTAATTCCTGAAACTAAACACAACTGTATCCTTCTGACTGTTTGCTGCCTCACTGTTTCCGTGTGTACTCTTGTTTCCATGGCCCCCGTTGCTATGCCCTGGCTGGACTACTATTGGAGGCAGTGATGATGACTCATTGGGCTTATTAACCATCACTTCTCCGGTTTTCTTTCCTACATCATTAACTGTCTCAGGCGTGGTGCTGGGGGGCTCTGGGGAATTAAGTATGCCCAGTGAGGCCATTTGCTTTTCACATTCCTGGAAGGCCTCTTGGAGTTCCCAGTCTAGGAGCAAGGATGGGGGAAGGGTCGGAGGCCGGACATCCGGGTAAGGTGTGGCAGGAGGCCATGGTGAAGGCTGGGCATCTGTGAGAACTGGGTCGCTGTCATGAGGCCTGAGACGAGGGTAGGGTGACAGAGTTAAGAGTTTGGACTGGCAGGCAGACAGCTGGTCATTCCGCGATGCCACAAAGCGCTGCTATTGGCAGAGCAGAAACCCATGCTCAGGCACTGCACTCTGCAATATGCACACACAGCACACAACTGTGCTCAGGGTACGTATTCTGAAATATACATTCCCTTACCAGATATAATACCATAATACCAGCTGTTTCTGGGAAATGGCTGTTAATGAACACGCATTGATCTGTTCATGCACACCAAAACACGCAGTTTATTTAGGCATCACACTAAATAGCAACTAAGCAATTTTGCTATGCAGTGCAATTGCAACAACCCCAACAACAAGCCTTCAAATATAATGTCTTTATTTTGATGTGACTGCCTGATTTTCTAATTGAACCAAAAGCTTAACAATAAAAACTGGTTTCATTCAAATAATCTGACTGGTTAGTGATGTGTTGGAACTTTCTCACGCTAACTTGTAAAGTATGAACCTTGTAGAAGCAGCATGAATGTAACAATAAAACTTGTAGCAACTACTAAGAATTGTTGCAGCATCCATATATTGTAGGATACATTAGCAACCACTATGAAAAGTCTTTATTCCATTTGGCTGCACTGTGATTGTGTATACTTAGCACTACTATCTATTCCATCATCCTGACCACTGTAAGGAATACTCATTAGGTTAATTCTAAAATAAAATACTTTTATGTGAAGGATAGTGATTATTAAACAGTAACTGTAAATGCTACATGAACCATGTACATAAATAATTGCATTCCCTTAATGGTAATTAATCACATCACCAGAGAAACAACCTTACACATGCTCATACTTATAAAATACTGCCTCATAAATAAGATTTTAAAATAATGCCTTGCAAAATACTTCCCTAAAGTACAAAGATGGCATCATAATTTAAAGGGCTGGGAGTAAATGTCTTTAACAGTTAGCCTAGCTTTGAACCATTCAGCTGTAATTGCTGAGTCACTGCTAAGCAATTAGCCAGCAGTACAAGAAAATGCAGTATAATCCAGTTTATAGACCCACCATCATTATTTAGTTATAAGATGCCCTAGTTTCTTACTCGTGTCATCAGCTGGTTCTTGAAATCTTCCCCACGCAGTCCTTTTCTATTATTCTAATGCATGCTGCAACCACTGTGACAAAAGTCATTATTCATATCCAGAAGTATAAATGAAGTGAGGACATAATGTCACGAAGCGTCAGTCCATGTGATTGGTTAATACATGATGGCTCCATAAAGGTTCTGTTACACACAACCTCTGCCCTTACTCACCTCACCAACCTGCCACTCAAGCCTGTATCTAATTCACTTGGCAGTCGCTATTAAAGGGTGGAGCAGCAAAATAGACTAAACTGTTTGTAGCTGGCAAGTTTCACTATGCAACAAGCTTTTGTCTGCCATATACCTGTGGTGGCTTCTCACAGAATTTGCATATTAAGGCTTTATATGTCTCAAAGTAAAGTAAAGCATCATCATAAAAAAACTGAGGAATTAGTTCTTGTGTCACCCTTACTTTAAATTCCCAGTTTCACACATTCAAACAAGCACTAATAATTACTTTTGCAATGAGTCAGGTTGTCAGAACACATTAATGCCTCAGACAAATTAGTGCGATTAACCTCAGCACTTAGACAAAAGCAGAATGCCAGGCAACACGTGAGGCAGAACTTTCAGTCAGTCTGCAGATAATTAACCCAAGCATGACAAAAAACAAACGACCACACCTCAAGCCAAGTCTGTTTAGGCAGACAACACCCATACAGTGATAACCATCACAGTCAAGTATAAGTTAGAGACGTTCAATCAACTTGTCATCTTTTTGTTCCACTCCATGCTCTCTGCTTTTACTCTTCATCATCACACTCCCACAGCAGACGACCCACTATCCCCCATCATGCTGAGTGGTACCTTGTGTCTAGAACCACCACTGGTTGACTGACTTCCATGTGATGCTGTGGGCCCGCCAGCAGGGGGTTCACCTGCTCACATTTCCTATCACCTGAGCTATTCTGAGTTCTGCTAACACACACGTACACAGTACACATACATTCACACGTGCAAGAAAATCAATATCAGATTAACTTTCACCTTGACTGAATAATCTGTACATATCTGTTCTCTTACAGCCATAAATCAAGCAAAATGAATATCCAATACAATATTATACAGTAATGCAATAATAATAGGATACTTTATTGATGAACCTGCATCATCCAGTAAAGGCTGGTGTATCTAATCACTATACTATCATTTTGTACCTTGGAAAATAACCTTGGTAATTTAAACACTGAGTATGATAGACTGCTTATTGTAAAAAGTTTGTGGGCAAGTTTGATCGAAGTAAAGTTAAGACTTCTGAATCCCTGTGGAAACTAAAGCTAATTGCATTGTTATTGTCTGTATATGTGTTAGCCCTGCAATTTATTGCCAATCTGCCCAGGATGCTTCTTTGCCTCTCAGCCAATGCATGGTTGGATAGGCCATGAACAGGCGTAGAGCATATATTGATGGATGGTTTGTGAATTTCTGACATACTGCAACTCAAAGCCCCTATTTCGTTTCTTGACTAAAAAGGCAATTCAAGGTAAAGTTCTGGAAAAAACATCCCTATTATTATTTATCAAGAGTTTAGCACCCCTAAAAATTGCCCATCACCGTGTTTTTGTTCCTTTATGGCACATTATAAAAGGCAATTGTAAGGCTAGAGTTACAAAAAAAAGAAAAAGAAAAATTGGACTGTGTGGGTGTGTTTTGATTGACAGTGCTGGCAGCAGAAGCAAACAACCCCCCAACTGTCATCACATTTTAATCCAAATGTTGCTAAACTTTGATGTCACCTTTTTCCTAATGAGCCCGGCCCACTTTAAACCAGTCAGAGAAGCAAGGAAAAAAACTCAATTATAGAAATCACCAAAACTCCTGTAACTGCAGCATGAAATTGTGGGTTCATGTCAGGCCCCATTGCTTATTATAAGAAGCTGAAGGCTGTAAGGGCCCTGAAATTTGGTTTTCAGGGCCCTTACAACTTTATGTTACCATATGTATTTGGTATTTTCTAGGGTCAAATTATTTCATATGTAACGTAGAGATTACCTACTAATTTTACTCTCCCCACTTTATTTTGTTCCAGGAAGTAGATGGGGAATGCAAACTGTAGGTATTATCATGATTCACATTTCCTGTAACTGTAATTGTCACCAAAAACCGAGTCAAGAACTTGTTCTTCTTCTTTCTGTGATATCAAGTTACTGTTTTATCTTGACATTATGAGAGGAACTGCGATAGTTATTATTGCATAGTTGTGTAAGTGTGTGTGTCTGCGAGTGTGTGTGTGTGTGTGTGTAACCCGTATACTTACCCCAGCGAGGACTCCCAAATGTTGAGCTCACTGCTGAAGTCTAGACTGGGCAGCAGGTCATGAGGAAACTCAAGCTCGTCCTTGTCCTCCTTGTCTCCAGCTGCACCACTGCTCTCCTCCACTCCGGTGATGACTGGGACGTCTGGGAAAACTGGTTGAGACAGCAGACTCTGTTGGCTGGTTTCGGCCTCAGTCAGCAGCGCTCTGTCGTCCCTCTGGGTCAAACTCTCAGCATGAGCTTCAGCCTGTTGGACAGCGAAACACCATCATAGTGAGGTACACGCTGGATCGTGTGTGTACTTAAACAAGTGTGAGCATGTTGCCAACAGACACGGGAACACCTACAGATTTAATGCTCAAAGCCAAACATCAGGAACAAATAATTCCAACCACGTGTTAAACTATTAAGTAAAGTGTTGTTTATATAGTAATGCATAGGTCATATTGACTGGAGTATTCTCTTCCACTCAGACACTTTATCTTTGTCTCTCAACTTGTTTTTCTTATATTGCTATTTAAATTAAAAGGATTATTTCCAGCATTATAGCCTAGACTTTATACCAGGATCGGTGCACAAGCCCGATCTTTGCAGCTTTGTTTACACTGTACAATACACATATTTAAAAAAAGTAAAAAGTAACTTATTACATTAACTGCATGGTCATTGCAGTGGTCTTTTCCATCAGAAACGCCTCTCAAGGGAGTCTGCTAATACTTTTTTCGAGGGTGACAAAAGACAAACCGTTCTGCTGGACTGTGATAAACATAATCAGACATGTGGTTTAATCATTGTCTAGAGTAGATCATTTAGATGACATTTTCATTCTTTACCTCTTTCCTTTATCTTGGGTAAATAATATAGATGCCCCTTGATCCCTGCAAATCACTTTCTAAATTTAACCTGAAAAGATTTGCATTTAAAATGTGACTTAAACTGATTTGAAATCTCATGTGCAGACAATACATGGAGCACTTGGCCTTGGCTGTGTTTCCTTTCTGTCTGTCCCACTGGCTGACAGATGGACAGAGTCCAGCCACAGCCACACACCACAACACTTGGCTGGGGCATCATGTTGCAGCAACATTGCCCTCACAACACCCAACTGTGGATCCACTATGTGATGGAAATTCACCCACATAGGCAAACTCAGTTTACAAAAGAGAACATTTCCCTTATTTCACCCACTTAGATATAAACTGAGGTGTGCAGGTGCAGGCAAACAAATGTGCCCTTGCACAGGCATAGACATGCAGATAACGCAGCCCTTTAATATTCAGTATGTCTGGAACATGTGGGCAAGAGCTGTTTCTTACAAAGAGATCCTGTTTTTAGTGAATTAGGACATGAGTTGATTTCACAATGTGAGTACAGGATACAATGCGGCTGTGGTAATGCTGTCCATTGCTGAGATTCTGAATTGAATCCGTTCATTCATTATTTATGACTCACTAGTAGACAGCATGGCTGCACTCAAGCAGAGGTGACTATCACGACAAGCTGAAACGATGAATAAAAATCAATTCTTTAAAACATTTTCAACAAAATTTCCATCACACTGAATAAATAAAACACACAATCACATGTCCTTCCTGATGGATTACAAAATGCCACATCTTGCTCTAGTTTCACCTCAGTGGTTTACTTACTGGATGTGGATACTGGAGATAGATGAACAAGTAAAGCTGTGTGTGTATTGGGCAGGTTCTGAGTCTATGACCTCACCTGTGTCATCGCTACAAAGAGCCTCCTTTGTGTGACACATCAAGCACAGATGCAGGATCTCTTGTGTTCCTCACGCAAACACGATTATAAAAGTAGTTACAAATCTTGACTGTACGCGGCCTTTAAAACTGTCAATTATGTAGCCTCTCTCTTCACATTTATGTTTGTGAAGCTCAAGTTATTTTTAAACGTACTAATTTAGATGTCTACTGCTTCGCTCTTTTTCAGAAGAAACCTGGCCACATATTTGGTTGCAGAAAAAAAACAAGAGAACATAAAACATTAAAGAACAACAGAGTGAGAGAACTCAAAAAAGCTCCTCTGCAGGTAAGAGTGTCACTCTGAAAGCCTGTGATCTCCCTACTGCTGTTATTCTCCGTATTAATGTTACATAATCAGATAAAAAAGAAAATATCCTCCACACCTCACCAGTCATGCATGCAGACATGAACCCAGTTTTGTCATGAGATGTCTGTATGTTGATATGTCTTGGGTTTCCTGTTTCCTGCCTGAACTCTCTCATCTAATGTCACAGTGACAACAAACTTACCCCTCCACTGATATCAAACTCAGAAAAGCTAATAGCATGTCCAAGTTTACAGCCAACACGCATTCAGCAAATTATTGGCCATTGTGTGAAGATGTTGGAGGCTCAGTGAGGTGGAAAAGCACAGCCCTTGTTTCACTTAGTTTGGGCCCCATACACACAGAAAGCCCTGTCTGTTATTAATTAACCCACAGGAACAAAACAGAAAGCAAGCTGAGGTTGCCTGGAAACTGCTACTTGTCTAACAGTCAGTAAGTAATACTCACTGTTAATTCAATGTGTCAGTGCCCATGTGCTAACACAACTTTAATGCTTTACACATGACTGTTGTAAACAGAGAGAAGGCAGTGCTAATCATGAACAGGAGTCTCTTACACACACACACACACACACACACACACACAGAGAGAGAGAGAGAGAGAGAGAGAGAGAGAGAAACATTAAACAGATCCAACGCTTACACTCTTTCTATCCTGCCCACTGTCCTGTGTAAAATAGTACACCTCTCTCCTCTAACTACATACCCGACAAGTTTCATCCCACTATCATCTGTGAGGCACTTACCCAGCAGCGTGCTCCACAGTGCTGAAGGTGACTCTACAGTGCAGTGCAGCTCTGCACAGGCAGCCTCTGCAGGGTTCTGTGTTTTGAGGGGGGCAGAGGACGACACAAACATGCTGCAACACATGCTGATGACGCTCCCTCTCCTCTCCTGTACTGACTCAGCTAACTTCCTCCTCCTCCTCCTCTCCACAGTCCCGTCCTGTCTTCTGCTGCTGCCACTCCCCTGTTAAATTTCCATGAGCCTCCTCAAGCTCTTGCAGTGTGTGTATGTGTGTGTGAAGTCTAGAAACAGTACACTACCACGCACTGACAAGCACAGTACTTGCTGCTGGGAGTGACTAACGTGACTGGGCTGGCCACAAGGAAGTGCTGAGAATACTCCTCCCCCTTTACTGTACACTCTTTCCACTCAGCTCCCTCCTCCTCTCTTCCCTCTTTTCTGTCGTCCGTCCTTCCCTATCCACCTCTGCTCCGGCCTCCTCCCCCACCTCTCTTGCTGCTGTGTCTTCTGGCTGGTTGCACTGACTGACAGTGCCTCTGCAGGTGAATGCTGGGAATTAGGCCAAGGGTCGGGCCAGCAGTGACCCCCTGAGAGAGGATCAGGTTACAGTCCTAGAGGCTTCGGTTACATACACACATGGGTGCATATACACAGAGACACACAACATCCTTGTGCATTATCAAAGCTCTTCATCCCACTTTGACCTCTCTGTGTTGTTATAGTGTGACGTCATCAGTACACATAGCCCTGACAGCACCAGAATACACCCCTGGCCATTTAAATACACTGAGTGTCTTATGGGGCTTAGTAAATGTCTCCTGTGGCTGATTTGTACTGGATATTAAGTCGAGCACAATATAATTATTACCACCTGGGGATTTCTTTTGACCTTTTTTTTTTTTTTTTTATCTCTTCCCAGATCAGACAAATAGTCTGTACAAATAAACAAAATACACAACAATGTTACAAAACCAGATGAGGTTAGCAAAGAGCGTTGCAATCACAATGAAATCACAAGCTATGCTGTCAAAAGGAATAAAACCTGTAAAACATTTGTGTCACACTGGCTTAAATGTGGAAGGTAAGGGGTTTGAAATCAGTCCCTTTTCACCGTGTACCACCATGTACTTAAATTAAGTCTAATTACTTTGCTTTTCATGAATAAAGTTGTAATCAGATCACAAGATGTCCCCCAGCAGCACTTTGTTTGGGCCCCTTTACAGTAAGTTTAAAGAAACACTAATTTTGAGTTTCAAAATATTAACATCAATCAAGGAGGAAAACACACAAGATTATATTCCCTCAAGGTTTCACACACACACACACACACACACACACACACACACACACACACACACACACACACACTTTGTACCTGTAGGGAGTCATTTTCATTTTCCTGAGGTGGAAATAGAACAACATTTTCTGGAGCGCCCTCTTCTGGCTGTAATGGGGAATGAAAGAGTTCAACAAGATATCTATAAGAGTAAAACCTCCTGTCCAGAATATAGCAGTCGTGGTATTCACTGAAAATAAATTTCCATTGTTTTTAAGGCAAAAGGTAAGAATGTTAAACCCCACTCAGCCACATTCAGTGATGTCCAATGTACATGGTTTATAGAAGTCTATAGCTCATGAGACAAATGTTTACGTTAATCCTATTAAGATAATCCTGAATTCCACTGCTGGTCCTCCAGTCACATGTGGAAATTATTGTTTTTCTATCTGTATTTTTGTCATTTCTGTTACAAAGTACACAATTACAACAAAAATTGATTCATAAAACAAGTTAATTGCAACAATAAATCAGTAAATTCAGTCCATTCATGACCTTCCAACCGTAATAGGGATGATGGATTTTATAAAATGCAAGAAAGCAAGCTTGGAAGTATCAGGGTGTGTAGCAGTAAATGCAGATCATGGATTTTATAGAGTCATAGCATCTAATATTTAGCTTTATCTCTACACCAGTCAACCACAAAATGAACAAAGCATGTTCTCTAAACGCTAATTAGACAAGCCTCAATTAAGCATGGGAATGTACACAAAGACTACAGCTCCATGCACATCCCATGTGTTTTACTGAAGCCAGCAGTTAGTAATTATGCCAGTAAGTGTTAGTTTTGTTAGTCCTCCGCACGCAAGAGTTCAAAGCAGCACGGGGGCAGCAAGTAGCAAATCCCAGCCATCCAAAGCCAGCAAGCTTGCCCTTACCAACGCCTCAGTGGTGCTGTTCTCGTTCCCCATGGCTCAGCCAGCTGCAGGGCCACGACTGCCCAAACCAACAGCCTCTCACATCAGCTGGCTGAAAGACACTAACACAGAAGGACCATCAGCATACAATCCCCAGAGAGACACAGGGGGAACAGGGGATCTGTGGCCCCTCAGTAGTCACAGACTCATGCTCAACAGGATTAGAGGTCTCTGGTATGAGGTTGAACTTGCAGGGAAGGGGAATAGTGTGTGTTGTTTTAGAGATTAGGGAACCTGTAATGCAAGACCTCCCTCCCAGACCAAAGTGCAGGCTTTGCCTCTCCTGATGTGGGCTTAAAAGCAGAACAGCATCTTCTTTGATAGAACAGCTATCTTGATATAAAAGTTGATTGTACAGATCACTTTAAAAGTATATAAGACACATTCAACTCCAGATGCATTAAGTTACAATGACCAGCAGGCCCCCTCTGATCTAACTTACGTCAAACAAATGGCATTGCCTCCTAGAATAAAAAACATCTTCACATGCAGTCACTTTGTGGATGTGATGTGGCTGAGTGGCTGTAGCATACTGACACAGTGACTGAGGATGGGTAATTCTGTAAGGTAATCCTCATGCAGTAAGTAACAGATTGTGGTGTCTCCTGGTTTCCAGCAGGGCTCCGTCTGTTAATGAACACGAGGCTATTTAAATTATCCAGGAGCATCTCAAATCCGTCACTATATAAACACTATATTTTGATTGATTTTAAGAAAAAGACAGCACATGGACTGATTGTATATCAAATATATGTAGAATCACTCTTGTAGCCCTATCAACCTCTTTCTTTCTCTCACTAGAGCCTTTCTTTGTTGTGTGACTTGCAGCTGAGCAGTAAACACTCGTGCCACAGGAAGGTTGTTTGTGCATTCCTCATATGACTGCAGGGACTATATGGTAGCTGTGCATAGTCAGAAAGCACTGACCTGAATATGTAAGGCTTTATAAATAGAGTTCGGCCCTGTCCACTGCTGTTAGACTTTATTCCAGCCTTGTGCACAATTTGTAATGCACACAACCAAATTTGCTGTTTATTCCAGTTATGTGTTTGCAATTATTAATTCTGTTTTTGATTTTTCTTTTGTCCTGCATATTAATAATATCTGTGTTCCCCCTCACATCTTCACTTTCTATGATGTAGCAACTCTTCTCCCATGCCTGGCCTGATTTCTATTTGTGCGAATGGGGTGTAATTTCAGCCCGTATGGTGTGGACGCGTGTGCACTTTGACTGGCGGTGTTTCTGGGCTTTCTGGCAGGACAAAAAGCACCGGGGCAAATCATATGATTAGACTGGTGCCAGGTATCCTCTCACCTCATCATTGGCCTGTCAGTCATTCAACGAGAGCCATCTTGTAAGCTCCTGGGTTTGGTCGAGCACCATATGTCATTGCTTAGACACCTAGAGTATGAGGTTACTGTTTCCTGCCCTGTATCTGACCCCTGCGTTGGCACAAAATCCCAACAGGAATACAGCCCCTATATTAAACAGAACGCTGTATTTATAATATAAGTTTTGATATAATAGAATACAGTATTTCTCGATAATATATGTAATATATTTTAGCAAGGTAAGAGAATGAGGAAAGCAGGTGAATAAACTACCCAGTAGATAAGGTTCATCCACCTGGCCAAGGCAGCTTTAGTAAACAGATTTAAATCACCATACTACATCAGTTGAGTTGTTAATAAAAGCAAAACAGTCACACAAATTTCAAAACAAGCTTCAACAACCCCCTTGTGTCCTTCCATTTTCATATGTTGACCCTCCATCTGAGGGACTACAATAAACCAAACTAATCAAAAATCTGCACCGATGCTGCAAAACTACTCACCACTGCAAACAAGAGACTTTTCCACACACAGTGTCTGCCTCAAGCTTTTCACAAACCCCTCCAATCTGTGTTTACTGTCGGACTCGAGGCCAGTGTTTGTTTCTGTCCTCTCTTCTGAGGAGCCCCAGTCCCTCTGTTGCTATTTTTGCATTGCACACTGAGTGGGTAGAGAGAGGACGGAGGGTGGACACAAGGACAGGGACAGGAGAGGGGACAGGACCGGGGGTAGGGGGAGAGTTGGGAGGAGACCGAACTGGAGCTGGGGGAGCCATGTCTGATCTGATTAGGGTGGTAGAGGTGGTGGGGAGGGTCACCTGCTTTGACAGGCTCAGGAAGCCTGGCAGTCAGCTGGAGAGGGCACTAGTTCTAAGGCAACACTGTAAACAAACAGGAGGATGAGGTGCCAGAGCCCTTTCCTTTCCACCCTTGTTTTCCATATATTGCTCCAACACTTTATTTACCTTCAGTGTAGTGATGCTCTTTCTCTGCTGTCCACAGTGTGTCTCTACATTTAGCAGTGGTTGACACATACGGACAGTTAAAATTCACTCACACAAACCTGCTGTAACAAAGCCACCACCCAAACAGGAGCCAAACTTAGCGATTTAACAGACTACAGAGAGTTTGAAATGTATTTTGGGTCCTTTTTTTTTTATCTGCTATCATCACAGGAGGCCATCGTCAGCTGAGTGCCCTGTCTGTGGGCTAAGAAGGCTTATTATCATCATCCCCTATAAATAACACTGATTTGATCAGCTCTGTTTCTGGCAGACATTACATAATACTCTAAACACACTTGTTCCCTCCCATCTTTTTCTTGCAGGTTTGTCCTAGCCCAACGGTCTTCAGTCTTAACTGACTCAAACACATGTACACTATGCTTTCTCTTTAGGATTTGTCAACCTGTCTTCCATCTTCCTCCACTACAATCAGCATCACCCTGTCACTTTTATAACCCTCCCTTCCTCACCCCCTGCACTCCATCTCCACAGCTCATTTTCCTCGCTGACGTCGCCCCTCCTCCAACACTAGAGTACACTTTCTCTCTCTCTGCCTTCGCCTGAGTGAACTCAGCTCCTGACCAGTAAAATCTATTCTCTTGCACCTTCTCTCTGCTCAGTCACACAGGCATTGTTATGTTACACTGCAGACAGCCTCTGTTCAGCACACTCCCCTCTCCTCTCCTCTGTTTACCTGACGGCGTGAGATTCCAATGCAGCTCCCCATCTTGTATTCCATGTCCTCCTCTGGTGAGGTGACTCTGGCACTACACGGCTGGCAGAGCACCTTTCTGCAGAACTGCATCGTTATCAGTCAGACTCAGCATCGCCAGAGCAGGCAGATCTGTGCTGGAGCTACAGAGTGACTGTGTGTGCACGCCTCTGTGTCTGCATGTGTGTGTGTGTGCCTCAGTGACTAATAAATGCTCTGCACTGCATTGCCCGTGGTGCGCCTGTGACATATATTTTTCAAGCCATTCTTATATAAAATCTACATTACGTAAGGAATCCAACCAAATGAGTGTGAAAAAAAAGGGAGCTTCTCTCTTTCCAGCCTCATGTGCAAGCTTTGCCTCACATCACTGCACGGGTGAGCAGACTGAAGCACTGCTGTGGAGGGAAGAATTGCTCAGAGAGGGAGAGAGGAAGAGATGCGAGGCAGCATAAAGGGTGCCTGTCCCTTTAAAAAGACCCAGGAGATGGCAAGGATGATGGTGGTACATCATCGTGACAGAACGAACGACGATACCAGCACACTCATCCAACAATCTGATCATGAAGTTCAAGGAGCCAAAATAGAGCAGAAGGAAGAATTAAAGCAGAAACAGAATGAGGAGTCATTTGCATATTCTGTGTTCCCTACATATTTGTACTAGAGCAGAAACATGGATCCTGATAATATATTTCCAAAAATTTCACAATTAAGACTACATGAATAAAAACCTCCATGCTTTGGATTTAATTCCCTCTACCATCTACTATCTATTATCACTCAGGAGCAAAAACATTATGAAACTGCTTCGAGAGTATAGTTTCTCTTAAGCAGGAAAATGCACACATTGTTACAACCAGGCCAGAGCTATTTTGTGAACATTCATTCACAGATACACTTTATTCTTAAAGTTGTGCTTCATTGTTACAGTTCCCAACCTTTTAAGCTTCCGGGCCCTTCAGATGAAGCACTGTCACCAGTTGCATGCCTGTAGGTTATGACCATGTCAATCAGACCGATTTCACCCCCCCACCCCTCCCCTGCTGCTTTTGAATATTTTTAGGAGGTCTGAAGAGGTAAAGCGATCATATAAATCCTAGAGCAGAGATTAGAGACACCTTAAAAGGGACACTTCAGATTTTCTTAAGTGGAGTTGTATGAGGTACTTTTCCATAGTTTATTACCTACAGTTGATGGCGGTTGGCCCACGGGTTTGGAGAAGCAGACAGGAGTACCAGGACAGAGACAAAGCAATGTACTGCTGTGGATGAGGTCAGCAGAAAAACCTATTTAAAGTGTACACTTCATTCCCCTTTTCCCTTCAGAAAGAGCAGTCTGACAGCAAGGTAAAGCTTACACTCAAACTGATATTTATTTTTTTCGGTGGTTAAAATACGTTTTTCTTCTATAATCCTGTATTTTTTTTGTTTTACTTCCTGTCTCACAACCCATAAGAATGTATTCCCCATTAGGAATCAAATGCTGTGAGGTTTTGGTGTGCAAACATTAAAAATAATTACCTAACCGAAAAAACTATTTTTATAATTAGAAAAATCCTTTTGTAAAGTCATTTAATCAAGAATTAAAAATTTAAATATTATTTATTAGCCGTTTTAAATACAGTATATTGTGCTGAGCCATTACACAGAATAAAATCGAGTTCAACACCTGAGATTTACACAAAACAGTACCAGCTTTCTCTTCTTTCTATTTTATTATTCAAACCTCTAAAAACAGTAAAAAAAAAAAGAAAAAAGAAAAAAATTAAAACTAAATGTGCTTTCAAGTCACTAGTCACAGCTTAGTGTGACTTATACTGGGTCTTTGCAAATGTGTCTTTTTGGATTTTTTTTTTTTTTTTTTTTTAAAAACGTAACACACCTAAAAACAATGTTCAGGTTCAGCTAACAAGAAGTGGCAGGGTCCGTCACTCATTCTGCGTGCTTGGAGGATGAATCATTGTGTCTCTGATGTCGAAGGCTTCTATGAGCTCCTGGGAAAGAAACAGTAACAACAGAATTATGACCAAAGACACAACACAAGGTTTTAAATAAAGTTAGATTAAATCCTCTTTGTTCAGGCCAAAACTTGCCTTCCATATCTTTGGGCTGATAGCGACGATGCACTGTTTACGGCTGCATGATCCTCCAGCTTCCACCTCCCCCTCCTCTACAGGTGCTGAGACACAAAACCACACAACACTGGTTAACTAATTCCCCTATAAGACGTTTCCTCTGTTATTCCACACACAAAATGTTAAATCTTCTCACCTATACAAGGCAATTTGTCATTATCCAGATACATGCGTGCCAAACCATCCTGAAACACAAACAACAGTGTCACACCTGCTAGCAGTCACTAGAGGGCACACAAGCTCAACTAAAACACAAAAAAAAACTTCTGGACATGCAGCTCACCCTGATTAGAAAAGACATGTGGAAAATGTTCTCTACTGTCCGGGAAAACGAGCTGGGGTCAATGACAAACTCGAAATATGATATTGGGGATGTTGCTGAAGTAGAAGAAGAAAAAAAGACACATGAGCAAATAATAAACACACAATGTTTAAATGTTAGTGGCCATGAGGTCGACTTTAAACTTACGATCATCTTGGTAATAACTCTTCAGGTATCCCAGAATCCTTTCCACCTCTTTCTCTGTCGCTTCTTGATGGGAGCTTTCCATTTTCTTCAGCTGACAGACAACATTAACGTGATGCCGTAAGTATCAAAACACTCTCAGTCTAAACATTATGTGAACATTGGCTTAAATCATAAAATAAAAAAACAGCATTTTAAGAAAATATGTGTCTTTGGAAATAAACCTACTGTTACTGTCTATTAAATAATAACACAAGATACGTTTTGAAAGATAATTCACTGATTTTGTCACTTTTGTAGGGTGATGGGAGGTTGCTCCTTTTAAGGGTATCTTAGATTCTTAATTATCTGACACGTTAGTTGCCTTCATAACTGTTTGTATAGTCACATGCATGTAGATAACTGGAGCCATGGAAGTGTGAGTTCAGCTACCTGAGTAGGCATCATCCTTTTGGCTTCCTTGCTGGGTGCCTTCCTTTGCCGTTCTATCCTCTGCTTTGGAGGAGGTGGCTCCGCATGGAACGAACCCATCCTGATGAAAAGACCCACAGTAATGAGTCAGAGACAGAAAATACTGCTGAAGGACAATAATAAACTAAGGAAAAAGGAATTATTAACATATAAACAGTTTTTAATTGTAGGCTTAATGTGCTCTCCACCTCCTCCTGGGATTTTTTAATGTAAAATTTGATTAATGACAATGTGCCTTTGTCATCGTAAGTGGTTGTTTCAATAGGCAGGCACTTAGGCCACAGCTGTCACGTAACACACTGAGGCACTCACATGTAGTGGAAGGAGGGTGACGTCCTGAAACAGCACTCTGCTCTCCTCGCTACTCTGTGCCAAGCATCCTGGGGCAGATAACCATCAACTGCACCTCCGTTCTGCTGATCGTCCTCGCCGTCTTCCAGTCGGTTGAGACCCATGAAGGACAACTGTCGGGAGAAGCAGAGAAATCTCAGGCTCACTGCAATGTACACACATACTGTATACTACATCATTACATTTTTTTGTTTCTTTTGCTAAGTTGCTCTGTGATGGTAAAGTGCTATATAAATAAAGCAGTGTGGAGTCGTGTTTGTTGTTATAACAACATACCTGGGAGGTTATCTATTTTTATTCTTAGTAGGTGCATTAAATTTAGGTCAGACGGTTCTATAAATTAATTGTTGCTCTTTAATACAGGAGAAAAACCTTTCTCCCCAGTCTTAAATAAAATTATGTCACAGTGCATGTCAATTTTTCCAACCAAAGTAAGAGACTAATGACACTAAATTGTGTAATACTGTAAAGAAAGGTGGACTTTGGTCACCTGGATGGAGAACAAGCTGAGAGACATGCGGGTCTAGCCTATCATAGCCTTAAAAAGATGTTCCTCCTCTTGTTTAACTAACAAAGGGCCAAAAAACAGCTAGAACGTAGTGCTGGGCAGCATGTCCAAAACTTTGTTTTACTATCATTTTTTAAGATTCTGGTGGGTTCACTGTATATGACGGTATGCAGGACTGTGCATTTATATAGATTTATAGTGTCTTAATCTGCTGTCAGGAGTATATCAAATATTAAAACCTTTTAATGCTATTGTGTGTGCAGAATATAAACATTATTTATTTATTTATATCTGATTAAAAGATATGCCAACTTTAACACTGCGTCCATTTCAAAACAAAATGTTTGAAAAAAATAATAGTTGTATAAACACTATAAACTGATGTATATTTTACAATGTATTTAAGTATTCAAAGAGATATTTCTTAAATGTTCTGTCTCACAGGTAAGAAACAAGCGAGTTGCAGCTATGCACCAATATATTACTGAGCAGCCACGACTCCTGTATAGAATATCCCATTATTAAAATAATACACAGTTAATATTAGAATATTATATAGCCTTTAATATTATATATTTATTATAGTATAAGGCTTTTATTTTTTACATAAACACATGACATAAAGAACCAATTTTAATACAGATCTCTTATATTTGCGCTTTTTAAGAATTGGGACCAAGATATATACTGATGTGGACATTTTACAGTTGAGAAATAAACGTGTTGCTGCTCTCTGGTGAACAATATACACCAATACCACTATATCTGTAATAAGCTATTATCAGCCGTAACAGGACACTGGGCCACCTCAGTTTGTGTTCAACACTCCCGCAGCACATTTTATGTACGCAGTCATACACAATAAACTCACTCACGAGGTGCTCAGCATAAGCTGTTGGATCAAAAGCAGTTCCCTCAGCGAACAGCTGGCTGGCTTTCTCCTTTCCCAGGTCTGTGGCCACGACGAGGAGCTGAGCATCCAGAGCTGCTTCTCTCGCCTGCCGGACTGCCAGAGAACACAGCGAGATTAAAACAGACCAAACTGTGATGAAGTGTTAAGCTGGAAACAAAAAATATGACACTCTATGTGCTTGAGTAATTTAAACAGGGAGTTTAGAGCCGCTAATTAACCTAACCGGCATGCGTTTGGACTGTGGAAGGAAACAGGATCATACAAACCCCTGATCCTCCTCCTGCCGTGCAAACTTATTTCAATGAAGATGCCAGTGTTAAGAGTTTGCTCTGATTGAGAATATGCATCAGTTGTGTAGTGCACTTGGAGTTGATTGAACATATGACCCTGCAGTGTATCTTCACAGACACCGAACTGCAGCGCGGTTGTATCCCACAACATACCATCTTTAAAAAGTTTGTTTGCCTCCTCTAAAACTTCTGTGAGCTTGTTGTTGGAGGGACTCAGCATGTCTTCCCTGTTCTCTGAAAAACACAAGAAGCAAAAATACATGTTGTCAACAAATAAACAACCCCAACATCTCAGCCCCCCCCCCACCCCCCACCTATCTGTCTGTCCATGCTGTCACTCACGTTGCACTGAGTTGATGAGGTCTCTGTACTTGCTCCGGATTTCTCTCCTGAGTCCCGGATCATTGTCGTCGTCTTGCAGGTCAGCCGGGCCGAAGGCACCTGCACCGTCGTCCCCGTCACTTTGCTGTTGATCTCCTTTCCTTCGGCCAGCGGAGCCATTCTGCCGGGGAGCTTCCTCATCACCGCCGCCTCTGGCTCTCTTCATCGTCAGTCAGTTAGTGAATGAGCTTGGGTGTGTGTGTGTGTGTGTGTGTGTGTGTGTGTGTGTGTGTGTGTGCTGAGAGAGGGAAACACAAAACAGGTCCACTATAGTTACAATAAATATCCAATAGTTCAACAATTAACTACATTCTGACTCCAGTTCTTGAAGAAATAGTACGTTATAGATATAATCTGAATGGGGATTGCGTTGTTAAGTTGTTTAACATTATGTTTAAAATGTAACGTTAGCTAAACCCTAACATAGCCAAAGAGGTTAGAAAAGCCAAAATATAAATCCGCTACTTGAGGCTCATTTGCAAGATTGGCCAAGCGGGAAACGTTAACATGCGTCAGATTTAATAAAAGTTAATTAACGTAATGTGATTCATTTAATACAATCGACCTACCGATGTCGTACTGTATATGTGCTAAATGAGACCGAGCCGTAGCTAACGTTAGCTACTGGAAAACTAACTTACTAAGCTCTAACACAATCTGTTTAATTAAACTTACGTTAAATCTCAACCAAGCACTGGTCTGGCGTTACTTCAACAGCCCAACAAATATCCTAAAGCAGATTTAAAAAAAAAAAAAACATTTTAAAAACAAAACCCCGGTCGACTACCGGTAAAAGCCTGAAGCAAACTTCTGCCGAGCCAACGGCAGACGCAAACACGGAAGTACGGAACAGTTTACTATCTCGTTTCAGACGTCTGCATCTTTGGTCTGTGTGCTAACGTTAGTCGATGTTAGCTAGCAAATCCACTGAGTTAGCAACTAAACTGATTGTTGGGACTTTTGACTCTCCCGCCGCAGCAGATATCACACTACAGGTGAACTCATAACACCGTCTGGTTGTTGTTGAACTAAATCCCTTTGTGTTTCTCGCGGTAACTTCGACATACCTGTGCGGCGGAGAGAAGGCGCGCCGAGCACTTCATCAATGTTGACGGAGACGAAGTCAGTTTTGTGTTGGTGGTCGATCTGAAAGTGGAAAATGTGAAACTTTCACCCCAAAATATTTAAATTACAATAATAATGCAGCTTTATTTTAAAAAACTAAAAATATTTCAGCCGTATAAAAATACAGGGGAAAAAAAGAAGAATTAAAAGTATAAATTCAATAAAGAAAACTTATTTGGTGAACTCAGTATTTCCACGTTTCAAGGCAATTAAATACTAATTTAAAGTCGTTATCAGTGTAAACTGGGAACCAATAAGTTCACAGGTGGGGAATGTGTTTGTAAATATTCTACCAATGCCACTAGTGTGGTCAACCCCCCTCAGTGTTGATGCTTTTAAATTAAATGGATGTTATGTTATTAAAAATATTATTATTGCATCAAGTAGATTAGGAATAACATTAAGACAAGAATCCCCTGATAAATACATCAGAGCTTCAAAATGATAACTAATTTGCTGCAGACATGCCACAGAGAGCAAATTGGTCTTGATTTGCAGGCTGCCTAAAATGTACATTTGTTGACTCTGTTAAAAAAAAAAAACTAAAATACTGCCTACATTATTCTTAATAGATACTGAAACTGAATTATTAAAAAAGTAAATGATTTTGTACACACAAAAGTTTCAAAACAAAAACTTCAGCTCAAAGTTTTACATTTACTGACGAGAATGAAACCAACTTCAGTAATCGTCGTCATCAGGCGGTCAAAACACGTCAGCGCGTCCACGTGGTCATCCCACCGTCACTCACCGGCAGGGCGCGCGCTATGATTCAATTCAAATGGCTTTATCGGCATGACGTAACACTGTACGTATTACCAAAGCAAGCGTTTGGAATAAATAATAATAATAATAACAATAAAGGAAAACAACATTTACAATACATTTATTATAATCTATACTGTTGGTAATACTGTATGATTGATTCAATCACAATCACAATCAATCAATCTCAGTCAATAAGTAATTAATTACAATCAATCAATCAGTTTGCGTCAACTAAAAATGTCATTAAAACAATAGTAAAGTAACAGGCTACAGTTAAAACTAGTAGTCTGTTGTCAATATAACAGTAATAACAAAGAAGAAGGAGAAAAAAATGAAAGAAAGTTAGAAAATGAAAATAATATATTAAAAATTAAAATAAATAAAATAGTATGCGGTGTGTGTGTGTGTGTGTGTGTGTGTGTGTGTGTGTGTTAGAAAATGAAAATAATATATTAAAAATTTAAATAAATAAATAAAATAGTAAGCGTGTGTGTGTGTGTGTTAGAAAATGAAAATAATAAATATTAGTTTAGTGAGAGTTTCCACTGGGTGTCCTCTGATAAGATCAACCAACGATGACCGACGCGAGACAGTCGCTCTTGAGTCTGTTCTGTTTTTTGGTTGTTGTTGTCGTCATGGTAACCAGAAGCGTCCTCTCTCCGTCACTTCCAGCTGTTCACTGGGATCATTAGTTTCCTTCACAACAACGGTGGAAGTGAACTGGTTTTGGACATGTTTCTTTCTTTTTTTTTTTTTTTAATTATTAGAATAAGTTTAAAATATGTTTACCCAAAATTATTATTATTTATTTTTTCAATTAGTTTTTTTTAAGAGGAATTTTTTCTTGAAATAATTACAGAAAACTTTCCCTTTTTAGTGTGTGTGTACTGAATACTTAAATGTATTACACGCAAATTGTTACTCAACAAATTGTTAAAGTCATCCAGACGTATGCTTTATTTAACTTTTTTTAAAAACAATTTTTTTGTAGCCTATAAATAAAGCTGTTTTAAAATGTTTAGAGGAAACATTTTAAGCCTCCCTGTGTGTCATTTAGTTGCAGGTGAGGTAGAGACAGTGAGCTGCTATTAAACTGCTGCCTGTCTGGAAAGCCTCTGCTAATCCCTCCATGACCTCTCCGTAGTGGAAAGACTGACTGAGACAGTGCCGGAGCACCACGGGAGCAGGAGCACATTGCTGCAGCGCCTGGAGTCTTCCAGGTAATTTTTTTCTTTTGCATCATGGAGCAGCTGAGGTCCACCTCTCCAGGGCTTCATTTGGACCTGAACAACTTTGACTCGGCCGATGCGCAGAGGAGTCCGTTTGTTTTAACGAGCCCCCGCTCGCTGCAGTCCTGTGCACGTCTGGGTGTCAAACCTGTTGAACTTCTGATTAAATCCCTGAACGAACTGATTGCTGAACAGAATGATGCGCCCTTCGAGGCGGTGAGAGTTATGCATGAAACCTACGAAAGGGAGAGAAATAAGCTTTTGCAAATGTGCCGGGAGGAGAGGGAGAGGATTATCCAGGCGGCTGGGGACAGGTGGCCAGGTGGTGAGAGTAAAGGCCTGGAAGTGGTGCCTGAGACCAACGATCTCTCACCAGGGTCCATCCCGTATGCAGATCTGTGCATTAGAGGGAAATCTATGAGCAGGTCCTCCTGTTCGGTTGCTGGTACCAAACACCCAGACAGGAGCACAGTCTGCAGCTTCAGCCTGGGAGACCTCCGGCACTCCCCGGCGACTGAGATGCAGCTGGAGAGGCTCACCAAGGACATCAGAAAGGAGATGTGTGTCACGGTGCCGGAGAGAGACCGCAAGATTGCAGCTCTCATGCTGGTGAAGCACGAGGAGGAGCAGGCCTCCCTGAAGCTCTCCAAGCAGGAGGAACAGGAGCGACAGGAGTCCCGCAGGCAGGAGGAGATCCAGCGGGCTGAGGAAGAGAAGAAGAGGAGGAAGAAACTGAAGCACAACATGCAACGGTGGCGTGGGGAGCTGGAGGCCCGCAGGAGGCTGAGGGAGCTACGGGAGGAAGAGAGAGCACGAGAACGTGAGCAGGAGGTGCTGCTGCAAGAAGACAGGTGGAGGAGGCTGAAGGAGGAGGTGGAGGCAGAACGCAGAGAAAAGATAGAGGCGACACAAAAAGAGGCAGGGGGGCGCAAACGATGCCAGGAGAAGCTGCTGAGAGAGAGGGAGGAGGTGGAGAAGAGGGAGCGAGAGAGGGAGAGACAGGTAGCGATGGAGAAGGAGCAGAAGGCCAGGAGGAGCAAAGTGTCGCAGGAGAACAAGGAGAAGAAGAGGCTGGAGGAGGGGAATCGCAAGGAGCTGCTACGGCACGTACTGCTGAAACAGCAGGTGGAGCAGCAGGTGGAGGAAGAGGAGGCGCAGATGAGGAGCACCCTGGAGAAGAAGCTGCAACACTCCTGCGAGATACGTGCCCAGGCCGTAGAGGCACGGCAGAGGGAGCTGCAGGAGCGGGCAGCCCAGGAGGAGGAGCAGATCCAGAGGGCGCGCCTAAGGGCCGAGCTGCAGAGCTACCAGCAGCTCACACACAAACAGATCCTGGTGCAGCTGAGCCAGCGGCGCATGGAGAGAGCCGCCCTGCACGCCTCGGCCCGGCACAGGGCCAGAGCCCAGCAGACACACGAGCACAACAGACACAGGCAGCTCTGCCACCAGAGGCTGAGAGAGAGGATGCAGAGAGAGGAGGAGGCGATGAGGAAGATCAGAGAGAGTTGCATCTCCGTGAAGGAGTGGAGGAGGGAGAGGCTTCGGATGCAGCGGGAGCAGATACAGGAGGAGGCGCACAGGCTGGCTTTGGCCTCCTTTCACATGAGGGAGAGAGTGAGACAGCATACGCACAGAAGAACCTTTGATCAGATGGCTCTGGAGGCTCAGCTGACTGCCTCCATGCACCACATGAAACTATGAAAGAGACGATTAACTCCCAACATCAGCACCTCCTCGCACATGCTTCAGCACAGCTCAGGCAATAATAAACAGAGATGAATAGGAGCTGCGGTAAAATAAGAAAAAACTATTCAGAAAAAACCTCCCTCCTATCTGCAATCTAGGAATGTAAAGACATGCCATAGTAGACAAGTATCTGAATGTGTTATAACCAGTGTGCTGCTGTAGGGTGAATGGTGGGGCCCTTGAACATGCTGTGGATCATTTGGTGTCAGAGATGTTTCCACAACTGTGATTTTAGGAGTTAAATGAATCACAAACACATATTTCATTTGATATGATGCCGCAGTGTAAGAGTCCCTGAGATTGTGCCATATATTTTCAATTTTTTTTTTGTTTACAATGGTATTTAAATTCCTAAAAGTTTAGAATGAAACTGGAGTGGACCATGTAGTGTCCTGCCATCAGGATAATAAACTCTAAAGCAGTGCTTGAAGCTTGTTGTGTCCCCTTAATGGCAGGTTGCATATATCTGTGAGCTGTAAACAACTCACTGTGTGATTTTCTCTTAGAGAAAGTCTACATCATCTTGTAAGACCTGTGATTTATCTGACCAGCTCTGTGAGCCACTCCACTTCATTGTTTTTCTGAGATAAATACACACATAATGACTTTGTTTGTTACAACACATATTGGATGGAGGTTAATGGAAACAAGGAGTTTGTATCAAGTGATCCAACATGGCACAGTGTGGTCTTACAGCCCTACAATGGTTGGCTTTATAGGGTGGAGGATCAGGCTGCAGACCAGAGAGTGACGGGTTAAATTGCGGTCTGCAGCCATTGGGGTGCTTGAGGGCTGACATCAGTGTTTTTAATATGATATGAGCCACCATTAGCAGCCAGTGGAGTGCAGATAAGAGAGGAATTGTGGGACATTTTCGGGAGGTTGAAGATGAGCCAAGCTGTAGCGCTCTGATGCAGACTGATGGTTAATGTTTAGCTGACCATTGTGTTGTTCTTGTGGTCGTCTGACTATCGTCAGTGTCTCACCATGTCACCATGTCTCACTAGAAGCATTTAAAAATGTTCTCTATGTATTAGGTAGGGCAGATAAGGCAGAACTGTTATTACAAGTTTAAAGCAGAACCATAATTCATGGACTCAAGTAGAATAACATTTTTAAGTGTAGGACATAAACATAAAAGCTCATAATGCATCACTTCTGTTCTGGACTATAAGAAACTGCTGAAATTAGCCATTAGTGGTGTGATGTTGTATAGCATATATTGTGTAATAATCAGATTGCTATGAGAATCAAGTTTTGTATATATTTGTATTAGATTTGCTAACTTTTTGCATGTTTTATTAAATTTTAATTAATAAATCCTCCTTCAAAGTGTGATGTTTTGTTCCCATATTTGTATTTAACTCGAGTAATTCTACTTAGCACACCTGTGCCCAGCTCCTCCGGGGTGGCTGATAAAAACCAGGTGCTATGTGACACTTTGGCCATTAAATATGAATCAGCATCTGATAATTTACCTCTGCATCAAAAAACACGTGTGAGGACCAAAGAAAACCAGACATTAAGCAGTGGGATAAGCTATCATAAAATGAAATATATTTTTTAATTTGCACATGCTAAAAAGCAGAGAAAAACAACAGGGGTCATTAGCAAATAGATAACAAATTACAGTTAACATGATACAGTTATGTTCTGTATCTATGGTCAGCCACCTGTTTCTGTTAGACTCACATATCATTTTACAGGAGCTGCTGGACTTCCTACTTATTGCTGCTGATGTTCCTCCTCACATCCGCTGTACTATGAAACAAATTACACCACTGCACAAAATCACAAGGATATCACATCCTTTGTCTTGGTTATCTGCACTATTGCACATTCATGGACTAATAGTATGGAGCTGGTTTCAAGCTCCTGACTGTACAAACAACGAAGACATTATTTTAAAATGTACAACCTAGATCACCTATTGTTTGGGTAACAGATTATTTGGTTGTTCCAGGAAATCTATCAAGTTACTGGGATTTCCACCTTCAAACAAGCCATGTCCTCGGTATCTTTGTCAGGCATAATAAAAGAGAGGGCTTACTGAATTCAAACTTGGCAACAAATTACACCTTGGAATGGAAAATCAGTCCACTGAGGACAATATATTAGCTATCAGATTCGTTAGACATACTGGAGAGCTCTTTGATACACAAACAATAGCTGGACCAAGGTAAGCTCTCCTCCCAGGCACATGTTGTCCGCTCCATCATTGTTCTATCCCAGTAGTTTACACTGTACAGTATAACACAGGTGCTCAGTTTCACCCTCAGGCACAGCGGCCCTTTGCGCCACACTTAACTGCCCTGGCATTTCTTTTTCAGTCGTCATGCAGCCCAAGAGCGAGCACCATCGGGAGCCCGATCCCGAGGATGAGAGTGAGGCTCTCCAGGAGCCCCAGGTGTCGATGCTGGTGGGCCTCGGCTCCGGGGGGCTGCTGGAGGTCGGAGGCGGGCTGGCCTGTCCTGCTGCTGCTGATCTCAGGGAGAACATGCACTGTGGCCACATAGAGGAAAGTCCCGGCCGAGAAGAGCATTCCCACGCCGGTCGCACTGAGTTGGCTCTGAGATGAACTGGCAGACTGTGGACACAAACACAAGTCAGATAATTCTGAACCACCAGCTGAAACTGTATAATGACTGGGATGTAACACGTCTTCTTTCAGATAGACACAACATGGCTGATGTGTGCTTACTGCGTGTAATATGAAGTACGTGGGGATGCCAACTATAGGTGCGGCAGCAGAAAAAGCCAATAAATGTCCCTGAATGTACTTCTTTTCAAGGCCTGCGTGCATCAGAAAGGAGACCAACCCAAAAGCTGCAGGAGCCTAGGAGAGAAGAAAGACCAGTCAGGTCTTATTATCAGCTCTTTTACACCTTGTTTGTGGTCAGTACTACTATATATTTAGCTCTCAGGGAACCTCACCTTGTGTAGAATGACAGCAAAAAACACTATCACTTGCACTGTCACTTGCCCCGTGGCCACAGCAGCACCCAGAGCAAATCCATCAGCTATACGCAAAACAAAAACCTTTTTAATGGTCACAAAAATCTACTTCTTCTTGTGGATTTTTTCAACAACATTGAACATGAGTCTGGTTTGATGTTTTTTGCCACGCTGCATGCCAGGTTTTTGCCAAAGTCGGATGTGAGCTGAAGCTAAAGCCTCCAGGCTGTGCTATAGACTTGAAGGAAGTCATTTAAAACATAAAAGACTTCAACAGTGAAGGAATCACATGCCATGTCACATGAGGAAAAGAACAACACCAGTGCTCTGCTGGGAATTTTCCAGGCTTGTGGTCTGCAATTCCTTGATACATCCTACGTACCTTGGGCAAACAGTGTGAAGTGTACATTAAATGTTAGGCTGAGTCAGTACCTGCAGCGTGAATAACCAGCCCCAAAGTGACCGTGATGCCGACACGGTTCGTTTGGCCTGAAATGAGACATTGCAAGGTAAATAAAAAGATGTGTGCACAGGTGACAATCTGCAAAATGAAACTGGTGTGAGAGCTCTGCCAACTTGCCACGCATGGAAAAGTAACTTCCGATCTGATCCACCACAAACATGAGGGTGAACCCGAACGTTAAAGCCACCCCAATGAACAACCGAGGCGGCGGGCCCCTCTCTGTGGAAGTTGCATTCTTATCACTGGCATTCAGGCCGGATGGCACATCAGAGGAGGAGGAGGAGGAGGCTGCAGAGAGAAGATGAAGGACGGGAAGAGCTTTTGATCAAATCAAACATGAAGGCAGAGCGGCACACATTTAGTGTGCTTTCATCCTCGTGTGCTTGATCTCAAGGGGGGGGGTCACAATGAAACGCAGGTGTTAAGTTTAGTGGTGAGGAAGAAGTGGATTATGTGTGATCGGTTGAAAACCAAAAGGGAACGGGGTAAACCTCAAGGCTGTGAGTCCAGTTGTGTGTGCATACACTGCTCACCTCTCCATGACTCTTCCAGTAAGCCCACTCCCTCTGGGATGACTATAGCCAGTGCTGTCCCACACAGGAGTCCTGCGCCCAGGATGGAGACAAACTGGAGGCTTTTCTGGTGACAGACACATGACTTCAGCTGATTCTCCCCCCCCCCTCCCCCCAGATCATTTATCAGACACAACCTGGAGCGGTTTCTAAGATTTCCGTTACAGTAAGCAGATAATGCAGCAGTAAGGCTCATTCATGAAGATACAAACATTATCTCCGGGTGTAAATCACTGTAATGCATCATGTGTATGTGGGCAGCCCTCCAGTTGCTAAATCAGTTGAACCACAGATTAAAATAAAGTTTTGATGGACTGAATCGTTTGATGGAAATCTGCCAATAAATAAAATAATAAAAATAAAACACAAGAGGACACTCACCTCAGAGAGTCTGAACAACAGTGGGATGAATCCAAGTAAAAAACAACCTACAAACATCGCAACACATATAAAAGTGATAGTCAACCCGCCGTCCATGGCGACTGTAAGTAGTTCCTCACTCAGGTGGAGACTCAGTTTGCAGACATGTTAGATCCTGTTCTCGGATCCGGTTCTCATGCTGTCGCTGGATATAATTCGTTGCATTGAAGGAGATAAGTTGCCATTCTGCCTTTCCACGTCGCGCCTCGGTCCGTCCGCTCTCCACAGCTGCACTTCCCTCCAGAGCAGCAACACCCAGTGTCTGACCCCGAGAACTGCACCCTGCCTCCATCCCCACCCCGCCTCCATCAGCCCCAGGCCCTCCAATCATCTACCTCCAAAAACTACAGTGGTATACCCACTTCTAAATCCCCTCTGATGTGAATCATTTAGGAGCCTAGTGTTCTGGTGACATTGTTGTCCAATGTGGACTGAGTAAGGAATACACTGAGAATGCAGAATGATGTAGTTGTCTCAGCTGTCTGTGAGCCAGTACTGATTGCAAATGAATGTGCAATTAGTACAGGGCCCTAAATATGAAAGAGTAGTCTTACATGTCACTGCTTATAACGTTTATCCTTTGCTGGATGACTGCTTTAAATAGATATTAAATATAAATAATATGTATAAATATATTGATTTAAATTAAAGAGTAACCACTACTCCAGGCGCCACTATACCACTGGGAAAATATATATTTCTACTACATTACAAAATGTAATCAATACAATGACTAATTACTTGTTAAAAATGGATTTAGTAACCTGATCCAAGTATCACAATATTAAACAAACATCACCTTCTGTCACTTTTGCATTACTGCAAAACCAAATATAAAAATATCAATAAGGTGATCAATAGTCTATATTAAACAGTACAATATAACCTGTATATTATACATGTACATTAGCCTGAAAATGCAGAAACCAAGATTTTTATTATTAAAAAAATAATCTTGCTTTTAATGAAGCAAATTAGGCAGTGGCCTATGGACCACATTCACAGCTGGAATGGTGTATTTTAAAATTAATTAATATCAATTAAAATTCTAATAATTCAATAATAATTTTACTAAATGTAACTGTTATCTGATCTAATCTTTTTTTCCTGTAACTGATGAACTATGCCTTTTTCTGTATCCAGATTACATAACTCAGTTACATGTACTCCCACTGTAAAAGTGACATTAAGTATACTCCGCATACTAAATATGTTTGATTTTTCAGTGTGCTGCTCATAGACAGTATTCTCCCATAATGCAATGCACAAATGCAATAGAGGCGGTGCTTGCAGCTTTAAATAAATAAACTGTGGGTAGTAAATCTTGAGATCTTAAAGTCTGTATGAAAATGAACTGGCAGCGACTGTAGAAAATGTGGTATAGTCCGGGGACACACTGAATATCCATTACACGACAACATGTATCATCAGATTGTTAACATTAGCCACCAGAAGCTGCTGCTCTTACCAGACCAAGTAAAGCTGTAGCAGCAAAAAAAATTATTATCTGTTATCTAACAGCTTTTGATGTGTTATTTCTTCTTTTAAAAGTTATATGTTGTCCCTTTAAGTGACTATGTGCCAGGGGATAGTTAAAAAAACAACTCATATAGTCAACAAACTTGATTAAATACAGATTTATTGTTCAAAGAGCTGGGGGGGAAAGTACAGATATATTCAGTATATATCTGTTGTACAGACAGCCCTTTGGAGATAATAATAAAATGACACAGTCAAATGCTGAGATCTGCCATTGTTACTCTTCCTATCTAGAAATATGTAAAACTAAAAAAAAAAAGAAAAAGAAAAAAAGAAAAAGAAGCAAAGCAGACAAAAACACATTCTAATTGTGCACAGTTTTCAGGCGCAGACACATCTTACTACCCTTTCTGAATACATTATAGAAACAAACTGAGAACTTCTATTAGAGAGTGCTTGGCTGTTTACAGCCCTCCAACAACAATCCATTTATTTCCAGTGAGTCCTGCTGTCTATGCAGATCTTATGAAGATACTCTAAAATAAACTGAGGATCCTAGACTTGGAATTTAGCACAAGACTACTGGAAATAATTTCAACCATCAGCCTGTAGATCTGTACTCTAATGAAATGCCACGACATGGGACTGGACACCAGTAAATTATTTTACAGTATAAAACATACAATTTCTGGTTAGCTAATGAACACTCCTTTTGAAGCTGTTTAAATACAGCAATCACACGATTACTTAAGCCACTTTCATATTACCAAAAGTCGTGGAATTAATCTACATTCAGCGTTTAAGCACTGGAGTTGTTAGACAAGATGAGAATTATTTTTTTTTAAGTATCTCCCTCAGAGCTGGACAGTATACGTTATTTTGACAGGACACATTCAGAGATTTCAAGACATCTCGGAGGTATAAAAATTAAGAGGTATAAAGTATAAAATCACCTTATCATGACTAGAAGAGCACCAGACTCAATGGTGTCAAACAATTGTCTTGTTAGTACCATAATTATATAGTCATATGTGGTGCGAATATATCCATGAACAAATTATGGAAACAGTTTAGGTTCACCATTGTCGTCATTGCACCCGCCCACAGGGAGCGTGCCCTTCTCTGTCAATCATTTAAGTGAAAGTAAGATTAGTGCACATTTCCCGCAATGGTTCTCTGAGCAGCTGGACAAGACGTGTTTCATATTATGGTCCAATAATAATCAATGGTCCACAGTGACAGACTGTAGTGGTACTGTGTCTGCAGCACTTCGCCTTGCTTTACCAACAATCTTATTTGTGTTTAATGGGGCGGCACATAGTGTTGTCTTGACTATGGAAGAAAGGAAATGACAGAAACAAGAAGCTTGATAAATCCTGAGTAAGGTCGTAAGTGTGTGGGAACTGCATTTTGACATTATAATTTGTTACTTAGCGTTTTTTAAAGTATGTATTTTTGCCTTCCTGATACCTGAAAAGAAGCGGGTTAATATGGTTGAGGCAGATCTAAAATATGTTAAACCTTTAATCTACATGTTTCATGATCAAGTGTGGAGTTGTAGTGCATGGCTATTGCTCTTGGCAGAGGCCTTACAAAGCTAGTAACTCGATCTGCACATGGAACCAACAACTGTGTAAGTCTATCACTTATTACTTCATAACAACGAATGGAAGGAAAATTATGAATATATCTTATATTTTGTTTTAAATGTCGGGAGGGCAAAGTGGTTTTGAATTGCATAAAGCTAAAGTTTGAAAATGAGTGACTAGAACATAGATCTGATCCACAGGTGTAAGTCTCTTGAGTGGCCTAGCCATAGCTGATATGTTATCACCAAAATTGCGCAATTTGAGTTAAAACAATCTACAACTCGGCATTGAGTACTGGCAAATGGGAAACTGTAACAATGCTCAATGGCCACTGGAACTTACAATATGCTACCTACTTTACCAAGTGTCTACATAAAGGTTAGCAGTGAAGAGGACTTGAAGAGGGCCGAGTGATAAAATATAGATTAGCTCATTCATAAAACTATCAGTAGACACCTTAACTGAATGCTAATTTCAAAATCTTTACATAAAGACGTAAACATATGGTCAAATAAGATACAAATGAGAACAACAGATATAGAGAACCAGTCACAATAAGTATCATCTGAAACTGACCCAAAAAAAAAAAAAAAAAAAAACTCAAAAAGGCCTTTCTCTTCATCCTCTGAGCAACACAAAAGGATCAGCAGGCTCCTGGCCTCCAGTCCCCCTGCAGCAGCTGTGCAAGGATCTCCCCCTACTGGGGCAGCATCAGTAGCAGCAGTCCAACAGCAAGTCCCAACAAAGGCTCAGAGACTGAACGTCTAAAAAGATCATAATTAATGTAATGTGCCAAGATATTAATTATCTTCTTCAACAGTTTAGGGGTATATCAAGCTTGGTAGCATTTAAAATTCAATGCCTACAAATAAATACCATGTCAAAAAAGGCTATTTTACAAATCCAGAGTTTTGTAGCTGTACAGTGTCAAAGCGAGGAGTGTTAGTAGCAATGATTTCTTTCTTTTTTTGTTGTTGAAAGGCTTCTATGGAATTGGAAGAACCATTTTGAGACCATCACATCAGCACAGACCAAGCTATCTGGTAGAGTGGAAAACTCCTGTTTCTCCCCCAGTGCCAGCTGCTTATTGAGGGGAAGCATATACAGTAGTGCAGACAATTAGAGATACTGACAAAGGATCACAGGAAAATCCCTCCACCGTTTGAACTTGAAGGCATGCTGTACTACAGTACCTTAGTGAAACTCGAGCTTATAGGACAGGTCCTCTTTTTCAAGTGCAATAATGTTAAGGAAATACCAGAATATCAATCCCCTTACAAGACAAGGCAAAATATTCTTCATTTGTGCATTAGTGTCTTTCTTTCAAGGGTCCATGTGCAGTGTTTCGGGATGTCTTGAGCTTTATCAGGACAGTAGGATGTTGCTGCCCTGCTGCATTGTCAGAGTAGATTCCCTCTGCAGGTACACAGACAGAAGACGTTGTTTGGTGAGACCCAGTGAGGAGTCCTTGAGCGACAATCCATTTAATCCTTAGTAGATAGTGTGCTTATGTTAGTGTAGAGTCCCTCCATGGAGGCTGAGATGCTTTGGAGAACTGTTGGTTCAGTTCCTGGTTTAATTCACATATTCAGTGCACTCCTCCAGTTAAACTTAGGGAATTTTTATTTTTCTGTTCCAGGGAGTATCAGTGCCGCACTTCATTATCAATGAGGCTGTCCTCACCAGACTGGAAGTCCTCATTTAGGCCATTTTCGACATTGATTATTTCCTCGTCCTGCGAGGACCCCTGGCCGTCTTCCTCGCCACTGCCTGAACCAGCCTCCTCTGAATTTGGGTCTTGAAGTACCTGAGCAATGTACATTTGCTGTAGGGGAGAAAAAGATATAGAATTTCAAAGTTTGAAAGGATTTTTTTTTTTTAAAGTAAACAGTATTCCATTAAAAAGAAGTCATACATTTAATACCACTGAAGTTAAAAAAAAAAAAAAAAAGTTGATTACAAAATATTGCAGAAATTGAGGGAAACCAATTAGACTCATTTGGCTAAAATATTACATAAAATATCTTAAACGGATGAATGCTTGTCTAAAATATTTAATAAACCCTCTCTTGTTGCATTTTCTCAACAAACAAAAACACTGATCTCTACCTTTTTGCTCCATCCTTATTTTATTTTCTCAACTTTTTTGCCCTGGTAGCTCACCTGGTTGAGCATGTGCCCAATGTACTAAGGCTGACTCC